TTTTGGAATTGGAAATCAGAGAGTCATCTGGAAGGCAGCCTGATTCATGGGAAACATGAAAATCAGTTTTGGACCCTCTGGGATGAACCAAAAGGAGCATGATCACCATAAAAATTATTGTAGCAATTAAGATAACGGACCAGAATACAATCAGAAGTAAAGGTGGAATTGGCTTCCGCCCAAGACTCTTGACAGCTGGAGCTTTGTCAAGCAGCAGTCGTAGAGGTCTGGGCATCACCAACAAGGCATGGCATAATAAGATTAACTGAACCAACCAGATTCCACTGAAGAAATAAATGAGGACATATCTTCAAGAGTAAGACTCAAAGATCCCATGGAGAGGGGAAAGTGGGGGAGATCATGATGTGGAGGGAAAGCAGTATGACCAAATGGAGGAAGCTGCATGGTGATTGAGCAAGATGAAGCAGAGACAATAAGGAGCTTCCAACAGAAACAATCTACCACAAACAAGCCCTGAGATACAAATGTGATATGCAACCAAGACAAAGGAGGAATTTGCACCGAGTTAAAAGTTTTATTGTCATTCCAGGCTTCAAATGAGCCCAGACCTGGGGCTTGTCCAAGGTTCAGAACATAGCTGAAAGTTGTTAAGGGATGATAGGCAAATAGACAAACCTCTCTTCACTGGATCACTGCCCCCATCACTTTGACAAAGCTCCAAAATTGGAAAAGGCAGCCTCATCATCTTGCAGCTCAGAGTTCAGAGAGGCTGCCTCAACTTCCTTAGCACTGAGTGAGCCTTCTCTTTGGGGCCAGACACTGTGGGTTTGGCACTATGGAGGGAGAAATGGTGCCACAGGGAGCCTTCTTGAGACTGAAAGGACAGGGCCTTCAAGTTATTAGATCAGAGGTTGGAAACTGTCATCCATGAGTCTGATTTCCCCACTCACAAGTATGTTTGACTCTGTTGGCCTGCGGTGTCTAAAAAAATATATTTAGCTGCCAATATTTTAAAATTGTAAGATTTCATATAAAAGTCTGGAATTTTGGCTTCTCTAGGGAAAAAATAATTGAGAATGTCTGGCCATATTGAGCTTTCTCATGTGGCACTATGTGGTACAGTGAATTACTTAATATGGCCCTATGGCCATAGTCTTTGTGACTTTGTGTCTTTGTAATTGGGTGGGACCATGCAAATAAGGTATATGAAACCTGTGATGGTTGAGGCTATGTGTCAACTTTGCTAGGCCATGATTCCCAGTATTGTGTGGTTGTCCTCTATTTTGTGATATAATTATCCTCCATTGATTGTATATATTACAAATCTTTGCCTCTATGTGTTAATGAGCCAGGATTAGTGTGAGATGCACTCAAGTCATCACCCTTGCTTGGGTCACACCTTTCATCTTACAAAAGAGAAAACAAGAGAGAAGCAAGTGGGATTGCAAGGGGGAGGGGGACAGAGACAGGACCTGACTACAATAGGAAGACATGGGAATGGAGCACATCCTTTGGACCCAGGATCCCTGTGCTGAGAACCTCCTAGACCCAAGAAATAGAGAGCTGTAGCACCAGAAACAGTGAGAAGCAGAAGCAGCAGAACCAGGAAACCAGCAAGATAGTACAGTGGACTTCCCCACTCATGGAGTGAAAGAGCTGAGCACCTTCATGCCAAGACTCACTGGTAGAGTGGGATATCTCTGGGTACTTATCAGTTGAACTAAAGAACTTTGTGGCACTTGCTCCAGGAGGCCCTGAGCAGGGCCCGGCAACAGAGGGTAAGAGGTGGCTGTTTTGATTGAAGAACCTTATCCTGAGTCATTTCTGATCCTAACTTGTAACCTGTTACTTCTCTAGTAAACCACATAATTGTGGGTATTGTCTGTGAGTTGTGTGGCCATTGCAGTGAATTACAGCACCCAGCAGAGAAGCATAATGCCTAAGATATTTGACTGCTAACCAGAAGGCTGGCAGTTCAAATCCACCAGCCACTCCTCAGAAGGAAGACTAGGCAATATACTTCTGTAAACATTTACCACCTTGGAGACCCAAAGGGGGTCGCTGTGAGTCGGAATCTACTTGATGGCAGTGATTTTTTTGGTTTGGTTCTAGTTGCATAGAAGTAGAGAATGCTGTGGGAGGGTGGCTCTGTCAGAATTCATAATAAGATTGGAGAGAGAAGGTATGTCTGACCTCCTCTGCTTCACAGCAATCAGCCTCGGGCTGTCGATGCTGATAATGATTCTCCTCCCCACTTGTGAAGTTAGATGAGGAGGTCAGATGCTGCTGCCATGCCATTTTTACACATGAATTAGCTTATAGCCAGATAGCAGTGCTCATATGGACTGAATATGTCCTGTCTAACTTACTCCAGTCCTTACCATCCTTGATGATATCCCAGCTTGAGATTGTGTACTGGTATTCTTGCATCATTGTGTGTGCACTGTTGTTTTTCACGTATTTAAAGAAGTATTTATTGCACTCATGTCTATATCAAAACAGGCAAAGAGATGATACACATGGTAAGTGACATGTTTCTCATGGACCTTGTCACTTGTTTACATCTCTGCTTGGCCCTGCCGGCACCTGAGATTACAAACTCTATCTTAAACATTAAAGAGCATTCTAAAATATCTCCTCCAAGGGATCCTCACTACACATGCCCTGCCTCTGCAGGTACAGTATGCCCCAGTGTTAGTTGAGCAAACCTGGAAAAGGATACTGAATCACAGAAGTTAATGAGGAAGACATTAAGTCAACTACTTCAGTTTAAGAGAGGATTAGAAAAAATGAAAAATGTTAATACTCTTGCTCTGTTTAAGAGAGGATTAGAAAAAATGAAAAATGTTAATACTCTTGCTCTGTTTTTAAGTCAGTGAAAAAAAATTAAAAACTAATGAGAAAGTTATGAAAGTACTTCAAGAGATTGGGTCAGTTTGAACTTGGGGTTCTGTGGCCCGTTAGTACCCATTCCTTGACTCTTCAGGAAATGGGCAAAGCTCTTAAGGAGGAAAGTGAAGTAGTAAGCTCAGCAGATGTCCTAGGCTGTTAAAAAATGCCAAACTCATCCTCACTTTGGCCAAAGCTATTTGCCCAGGCTAAAGTGTAGGTGGCATGAAATAATTTTCAACAAAGGTAGGGGAATCAGTGCATAAAAGGATTTGAATGGGTACAGAGTCAGAAACCGGCCTTGACAAATGCAAGACAGGAGAAAGAAACACCTTGGTCATATACCAAATGCTGTGGCTGGTACCACATTATTTGCCCTTGAGCGAAGCGGTGATCTTGACACAGCCCAGACGCTTGTTTTTGTTACTCAGGATGCTCTGGATGCGGTAGTTCCCGGTGCTGAGCCAGCCAGGCAGCTCCAGGTCAGGCAACATAAAATCAGACTTGGGTAGTGAATAGGTGCCCTGTAGGAAAGCCAGTAAGACCACTGGTCAGTGAAAGCCTCCTGATAGGACCCTCTGAAGGAGCCATCACTACGATTACAACCATGGCCTGCTTACCTAAAAGTCACACAAGATTAAAGATTGTCATAATGCTGCAAAACATGGAAATGTTGTAGTTAAAGAGCCCTGAAGATCACATCCAAGTTCAAGTCACCCATTCTCAAATGGATAAACTGAGGCCCAGAAAAGATAGATGGTTCAGGATGGGTCATACCAACTTACACCACAGACATACAGATCTGCAGGAAATCTTTCTCCTTCTCTCCAAACCCCATCTCTTTACTCTAGCCACAGGGATAAAGGCCTCCCTCCCCAAGTACTTACTGCTTTGAAGGGACAGTGGCATGGAAGCCCATAGGTGTGCAGGGGCTCAGGGCAGCTCTCCCCAGGGGGAATGAAAGTGTCAAGCACATTACAGAAGTCGTCATAGGTACAACTGCCAATCTGTTCCACACACGGGATCTTGACCCAGAAGCCTGCTACTTCCTTTTCTATAGTTAATTCCACCTAATGAGAAAGAGTTTGAAAAGATTACAAGCAGAAATTCCATGGGAAAACATTCCAGCTCCTCTGTTTTGGTTTTTTTTAATCACTTAATTTTTAACTAGATAGGGCCTTAGAGATCATCTCTTCTAGGAATGACAATTAGTGGCACATGCACCAATACTGTCCTTTCCTGTGCTTGTGACATACATTAATAATCTGTTGTGATTTCTTTTACCTCCCTCACTGACCTACATACAGCCTAAGAATTCTTTAAGTACTCATCACCCATTGATTGGAGCTAACACTTGAGTTGACACCCACTTGTCACTTAACCATTAATTGTGGCATTATTTGCTGGACTTTTCTTGGAAGCGCATTCTTGGCCTCAGAACCCTCTACCACATAGGACTTCAGGAGTTCTGACCAAATTATTGGAGTTGGTTATCAAGATAAAACCTATTTGAAGAGAGTGGAGCAAGATGATAAAGTGAGTGGAGGCTTCCAATTGCTAACCTACTTCAATTACTCCCCCAGCAACTAACCTACTAAACAATAAATGAAAACAAGCATAGACTAAGATCTCAGAATTCTGAATGGCACACGAGGTATTGGAGAATCAGGGTAAATTCAGAAGTAGGGGAAAGGAGGAACAAGGATGGCACAGAAACTGGGAAAACTTCCCCTCTGATATTGAGAGTGCTTGCTCACTGCATCCATTTTGGGATGAGGCTGGGTAACATCCCAACGAATAACAGAAAAAGAGCTAATCTGAGGAAGTGCAGTCCAATTTTTTTTTTAAGGTGGTGCAAAATGTCTGGGGGAGATGATGGGTCATGCAGTTGGGAGGGGGCAATCAAGACTATGGCACTGAGAAAGAGTGCTACTGAATCTTGCCAAGGCCCAAGACAAATGAACACTAGGACTAGGAGGAACAGTAAGCACAGCAGGGCAAGGGGAACACTTCAGACTGAAAGAGAGACAGTGAGACACTGTGGACAAGCCTATGCAAAGATACCTATGAAGGAAAGACATAAAGAGCCCCCACCTTCACTACAGGAAAGTTGAGCCCCAATGCTTATATCAGTGTCTATGAACAGCTAAACCCCACCTCCCACACACAAATACATGCATAACAAATTCCAGAGATCAAGCATCCAATACTTTTGTCAGCATTGACAAAAACCTAAGGATAAGCAAGCTCTCTAGGAGTTCTCAGAAGATACCATCCCACTGCCTATGAGGCTGAGTGGAGCTGCCCTGTGGGGATAACAGAGCTGTAAGTCTTTGTGGAGGTAGGCTGCCATATCTTTGCCCCTTGGTGTGGCTGGTGAGTGAAAGCCCCATCCTTTTGGTTGGCAGCCAGCCCAGTGCTTAGCCTCTGTGCCACCAGAGCATCCAATCAGAACATTTTCTCACTAAAACAAGAAAACAAAATTTAAAGTGAAAAAAAAAAAAAGAAGAGAGATAACAAAATGACCCAAGTTTAACAGAAAGTAGCAAAGCACACAAAATCACAAGAGAAGGGACAGTCAAAACCAAGATATGAAGAAGAGGAAATTTCTCCTACGAAGGCCAGAATAATTCAAAGAATTTATCATTTTCAGACTATTGTGCTACACATGTTTAAAGAAAGCAAAAGGCAAACACAGAAAACAAACCAGCAGAGATCAGGAAAAAAAATGAGAGACTCAATGTGGAAAGTGAAAACATCCACCCCACCCCACCCCACCCAAAAGAGAGAGAGAGAGAGAGAGAGAGAACTACTGGAATGGAAGAATTAAAAGCCTGAATTAGAAAAAGCAAGAGAAACACTGAACAATAGAGTCAAACAGACAGAAGATAGAATAAATGAACTAGAAGACAAAATAGCTGAACTTAACAAGTCTGAGTAAAGATAAAGAAAAGCAAACAAACCCAAAAGGAAATACAGGACTCCATTAAGAAATTTAACATTAGAATTACTGCAATCCCCAAGTACCATGAGAACAATGCCAAAAAAATCAAACTCACTGGCATCACCATCACTCATCTGACAGTTTGTCATACTGTGGTGGCTTGCATGTTGTTGTGAGGCTGGAGGCTACTCCACTGATATTTCAAAAAACACCAGGGTCACTCATGGTGGACAGGTTTCAGCAGAGCTTCCAGACTGAGGCAGACTCAGAAGAAGGAAGGGGCCATCCACTTCTCAAAGAATTGGCCAGTAAAAACATTATGAATAGCAGTGAAACACTGTCTGATATATTACTGGAAAATCTTATGAATAGCTCTGAAACACTGTCCAATAAATACAGTGCCAAAGATAAGCCCATCAGTAAAGAAGCCACTCAAAACCCAACTGGGAAGAGCTGCCTCCTCAGAGTAGAGTCAACCTTAAAGATGTGGTGCAGTAAAGCTTTTGGGACCTCCATTTGCTGATGTGGCACAACTCAAAGTGGGATGAAACAGCTGCAAACATCCATTAATAATCAGAACATGTAATGTACAAACTAGGAATCTATGAAAATTGGAATGTATCAAAAATGAAATGGAACACATAAAGATTAGTATGCTAGATATTGCTGTTAGGTGTATCAAGTCAGCTCTGCCTCAAAATGACCCTATGTACAACAAAATGAAACACTGGCTAGTCCTGTGCGAGCCTCATAATCCTTGCTATACCTGAGCCCATTGTTGCAGGCACTGTGTCAATCCATCTCATTGAGAGTCTTTTCCTTTTCCATTGGCCCTCCACCTTACTAAGCATGATAGCTTTCTCTAGGGAATGGTCCCTTCTGACAACATGACCAAAGTAGGTCAGATGAAGTCTGGCCATTCTTGCTTCCAAAGAGCATTCCAGCTGCACTTCTTCCAGGACAGATTTGTTGGTTCTTTTGGCAGTTGACGGTACTTTCAGTATTCTTTGCTAACACCACAATTAAAAAGCATCAACTATTATTTGGTCTTCCTTATTCATTGTCCAGCTTTCATAGGTATATGAGTCAATCGAAAATACCATGGCTTGGGTGAGGCGCCCCTTAGTCTTCAAAAAGACATCGCTGCTCTTCAGCACTTTAAAGAGGTCTTTTGCAGCAGATTTCCCCAGTGCAGTATGTCATCGGATTTCTTGACTGCTCCTTTTATTGGTGTTGATTGTGGAACCAAGTAATATGAACTCTTTGACAACTTCAATCTTTTCTCCATTTATCATGATGCTGTTTATTCATCTAGTTGTGAGGATTTTCATTTTCTTTATGTTCCAGTGTAATGTATACTGCAGACTGGTGTCTTTAATCTTCATCAATAAGTGTTTCAAGTCATCTTCACTTTCAGCAAGCAAAGTTGTGTCATCTGCATATCACAGGATGTTAATAAGTCTCCCTCCAATCCTGATGCCACACTCTTCTTCATACAGTCCAGCTTCCCAGATTATTTTCTCAGCATACATATTGTATAAGTATGGTAAAAGGATACAACCCACACACACTCCTTTCCAGATTCTAAACCATGTAGTATCCCCTTGTTCTATTCAAACAAAAGCCTTTTGGTCTATGTACAGGTTCCTCACGAGCACAAATAAGTGTTCTGGAATTCCCATTCTTCTCAAAATTATCCATAACATGTTATGATCCACACAGTTGAATGCTTTTGCATAGTCAACAAAACACAAGTAGACATTTTTCTGGTACTCTTGGATTTCAGCCAAGATCCATTTGACATCAACAATGATATCCCTTGTTCCACATCCTCTTCTGAATCCAGCTTGCATTTCTGGAAGTTCCCTGTCAATATACTGCTGCAACCATTTTTCAATTATCTTCAACACTATTTTACCTGTGTGTGATATTAAAGATATTGTTTGATAATTTCCACATTCCGTTGGATCACCTTTCTTAGAAATGGGTAAATATGGATTCCTTCCAGTCAGTTGGCCAGGTAGCTGTTTCCAAATTTCTTGGAATAGATGAGTGAGTGCCTCCAGTGGGGCATCCATTTGTTTGAACATCTCAATGGATATTGCACCAATTCTGGGAGCTGTGCTTTTCACCAATTCCATGAGAGAGGCTTCTTCCTTCAATATCACTGGTTCTTGATCATATGCCACCTCCTGAAATGGATGAACATCAACCAATTCTTTTTGGTACAGTGACTCTGCATATTCCTTCCATCTTCTTTTGATGTTTCCTGCATCATTCAACATTTTACCCATAGAATATTTTAACATTGCAACTCGAGGTTTGAATTTTTCTTCAGTTTTTTCAGCTTAGCGTTTTCTTCCCTTTTGGTTTTTGAACTCCAGGTCTTTGCACATTGGCCATTTTGAATCAGAAAACCATATGATCTACTATGCCAGGAATGACAAATTGAAGAGGAATAGTGTGGCATTCATTGTCACAAAAAAATGTTTCAAGACCTATCCTGAAGTACAATGCTGTCAATGATAAGATAATATCCATCTACCTACAAGGAAAACCAGGGGGAGCTCTGGTAGCATAGTGCCTAAAGCACTTGACTGCTAACTAGAAGGCTGGCGGTTCAAACCCACCAGCCACTCCCCAGAAGGAAGGCTGGGCAATCTACTTCTGTAGTGATTACCACCTCGGAAACCCAAGGAGGGGTCACTATGAGTCAGAGACGACTTGATGGCACATAACAACAACAACAACAACACAAGGAAGACCAGTTAATACTACTATTATTCACATTTATGCACCAAGCACTAAAGCCAAAGACAAGGAAACTACAGGTTTTTACCAACATCTGCAGTTTGAAATTGACCAAACATGCAATCAAGATGTGTTGATTATCACTGGTGATTGGAATGTAAAAGTTGGAAACAATGAAGAATCACTAACAGTTGGAAAACATGACCTTGGTGGTAGAAATAATGCTGGAGATTGCATGATAGAATTTTGCAAGATCAACAACTTACTGATTGCAAATGCCTTTTTTAAACAACACAGTGGCTACCCATATGGACTTCACCAGATGGAATACACAGGAATCATATTGGCTACATCTGTATAAAGAGGCAATCGAGA